CAAGATAGCCTTCTACTTTCGATATAGCTACTCTAGCAGGCTCTATAAATTTAACTTTAGATATTAATGACTTGGAGTTTTCTTTCTTAGTAACCCATTGGTAGTAGTCTACTCTTGTTGAATCATTAAACGCTAAATACGTAATACTCTTATTCTTGCAAGACCCGCACAAACGACCTAAGCATTTTTCGTCATATTCATTGCAGCACAAAGATTTAAGCAGTTGACTTGCATTACTTTCTGACATAACCCTAGCTCGATGTAAGCCAGAAACCAACAATTCCATATTTGAATGGGTCTTACATAGACAAGTGTCTCGTGTTTTTCGTGGGAAACATATCCAAAACGGTCTTAGCCTACAAAACGAGGAATAACTCAAGCGTATTCTAGGGTAATCATTCTTAAATTTTTTAAAAATATTAGCTAATGTACCTGACAAATACCTTTTTGCTTTTCTTACACCAGACTTCTTAATATACTGATTTTTGCCAGGTGCTAAATAACTAATTATATCTAACTCAAAAAATCTCACAACTATATTTTTAAGCTTTTCTTTATAAGAGACATCTTGTTTCTTCTTGTTGACTTCCTTATTATCTTTATTGTCTTTATTTTTATTTTCTTCCAAAGATTTTATAAGATTTCTGTATTTTAAATTTTGTTTCTTTAAAAATAATATAGTTTGCCTCAATATTTTATTTTCTTTATTCATTTGGTATCGCAGTTTCCTAATTTTGGTTTTACATAGACAGTTGCTTGATGTTGGAGATGATAGATTACTGGTAAGAAAGGGATCACTACATTCATCTAAACTATGTGTATTCACAACACTTTTTTCAGTTTCCTCAATAAAGACTTGCGCCGTTTCTCTTTCCTTCCTCTTCTTCTCTAAATATTTCTTTGAGTTTTCCCTCCATTTTGCACGTTGAACTTTTTGTTCACGCCTATTCATTTCTTTCACGGATATTTTTATTTTCTTCTTTTTTTGTTCTAGATATTTCTTTCGGCTCTTTTCTTTTTCAATTTGATATAGTAAAGGATCATTTTTAATTCTAGCATATCTCTCCCTTTGGTATAATCGTTGTGCTGCTCGTTTTTCTTCACTAGATTTCAATGGTTTAGGCATTTGTGATCTGAAACAAAAAATATTAATATTTATAAGTAGCAAATTAAAATAATTATATTTTAAAATAAAGATAATAATAAGGAACTTACAACTCATTTCCTCGTAAAATTTTTTTTTGGCTTATTGTTCTTGGTATTTTTTGAAGATAGATACAATTTCTGTTCAACAATCGTTAAGTTTCGAGTCCGGTACTTGATTTATTAAATAATGAAATGCTACAGCCTTCACGTTTATTTCACATGGGCACGTGCACATACCCGTCTTCACGCCAGCCAGCAAAACCTCCTTCACGTCGGTTTTTAATAAATCACTATCTAAAAATAAATAATAATATAGGAAACACTACTTTTTACGACACAATAGTTTGTAAATTTCATTAGAAAAAAATGAATAAAAAGTTCCTAAACCTTTATCATCAAGATTAGTTTTGTTCCAATTTTTGTGATAAGCTAATATGGACGGTGAACTTGAACGACTCATATTTCCTAAAACATTTATATACTAGTTGAGCTCGGTATTAAATATAAATATGTACCTAATGTCGGCCAAAATTATACATTATACATTAGCTTTTAAATAAAAACCAAAATTTATTATTAAATTAAATAATTTATCATTCCCATAGAAAAAATTCATTTTCCTCATAAGTTAAAATAGAGGGAATGAAATGTAGGGGAATGATAATTTCACGTAAAAACACGAAACGAGCAATAAAATCGTTCGAATTATGAAAGAAAAAATTGCGTCTTAATAGTTTCTTATTACCATTTAAATAATAAAAAAGTCATATTGTGTTCATTAAATATACTTACCGAGATTTGAAGTACTTTAAGAATGAAAATTACTTGGACAAACTCCGTACAAAGAACAATTTGGCACTATTTCGTATAGACAAAACACATGCACTCTTCTCAGGCGGCTTGCGGCAACTGTTTGAAGAAGCCCCGAACATTCGATGTGAGTAACAGTTGCGGTGCGCGGGGGGCTACTGAATTAAAGTCGAGTTCACAATTTGTTGGGGTAATGAACAAAATGGTATTACAATTTTTCTCTTTGGATTCTTAGGCCTTTAAAGATTTAATGAGAAAAAAAAGTTATCGATATGTTATTCAGTCCTTATCAATAATATCAAAATAAATTAGTTTGATGTGATTTTTAAATCAAAAGCATATAAGTCATGAAGAACAATGTATAACTACCAAGAAAAATCCTAGGATAATGAAAAAAAATGCCCATTTTTCCTTAAAAAAAATTAATAACGAAATATACACACAAATGTCATACCAGCCCTTTTAAAACAAAAAATTAGGAATAATATAGTATTTTTGTTTATTTAATATATGTTCATTTTATGACACTTAAATGGATAAATCAGTTTTATTGCGTGATATAAGAATCAGCCCCTAACAACATCCACTCCACACACGGAACTACCATCCAGATTTAATCTTCTTTAAATAAAATATAAAGTCATTTATTTCGTCCGATTATAATGAAATGTGTACGTAGGTTTGCTTTCGTGGTCGAGTGTTTCTCTTTCATTGGATTTATCGTAGATATTTTTTAATTATGACTTCCGGAGCCTTATAGCGTACATAATTAACGATTTTAAATGACATGTAAATAATACTGGAATAATCAGCTCATGATTTCTGTTTACACATTTTGAGATCTCCGCGAATTCTTTCAGGATCAAAGACAGCGCCGTTTATCAGCGTCTGGTTCTTTTCAACGCGACTTGTCGTATTAAGCTAAATTATGTTTACCGTCTCAAGATTTCCTTACGCGAAACGCTAAATAGCCTTCTTTAAAGTTAACCTGCCTTTGTTATATTTAATATACGTTTTATTTTTTATTATACGTGGAATTATAAAAACCGTTTTTCATTTAAAATACATAAGCCTTTATTAACGTTCACTGACAAAGTTTTTATTAATGCGCTTTTTTTCTGTTTGTCTGCTAGAAACTTGAAACGTGATGTATAACTGTCGCCAATTTGAATTATATTTTTTTGCTTAAGATATAAATAACTTGTTGTCTTGTTTCTTGTTTAGTTTTATACAATATTTTGTAAAATATAGCGTCAGGAAAAAAATCTGAGGGATGACACATATAGCCTAGTATCTAAACACAAATTTTCATCCAAATGTCAAAGCTTTTTACAAGAGAAACTAATTACACATAAGAATTGCTTACTTAAAATGTAAAGATATTGGTTCTGAAGTAACAATAACAAAGGCACCATAACGAGTATCTAATAGTTATTGCAACATGTTGTATTTAAAGTACGCACTCCACAAAATAAGTGAGTAGTTTTATTAGTTGCTTGTAGATCATGTATCTTTTGTTGCTATCATCCTATAAATAAGGTTTACAATGGACGCACTTAATTCCTTTATGGTATTTTCTGCCAGTCAATCCTGTCTAAAAAGGTCATCTATTTTGTTTAATAGAATGTAAAACTAAGAGCTGTTTTTCACAATAATGACACATGGCGCGCCACTAAAAGACGTTTAAAAATTATAATTTTATAGATATAGAAAAAAATCATACAATGGAGTAATAAACTCCAAAAATTATCTGAGTAATGAGCGTACAGCGGGGCAGAGCGTTCTGCATGCATTTCAAACCCACGAATTATAGTTTTACAGTTAGTGAACGCAAATAAAACAATTAATTTAATTAATTAATTCTAAGTATGCATAGCTAAGCCTCACGCTCCACACTGTCAACTCGCGCCTTAGTGCTTGTTCACGTTAACTCGCGGGCGCGGTCGCGAGTGTAGTTACTAAATACCAAACACATAGCATTACATTATGCAAGCGTTCGCGTACAAAACGCAGGTGCGATGGAATTAGCGAGCAACCTGACGACTAACACGCCCAGCGCGCTCGTGGCAATATCAAACGTATGAAGGTTTGTGTGTGTTCACGTCGTGACGGAGCGCGCGATTGACACGCGACTTCAGGTAAGATCGGCATTTTTGAACTTGTCGCGACAAACGATCGACCATACAACTCAATGGACTCGCCACGTATGATAAATGATTATTCCACTCTGTCAGTTCTCTTTATTTATTAATTTCATGCACACCAATTCTAATTTTTATCTTCTCATCAAAAGTTCGTCGTACATGTTTACATTCTCTGACAATAGTCTGAGAGCTGGCGATGAATTTTGGGAAGGTCCTTTGGGCAAGTTGAAATTGTGAAAAAATATAATTCAAAATTACTCAATAAATATGTGATTAAAATTTGAAATTGCCAAAAATATGTTTTTTTTTGGGAATAAAAAAAAATGGTTTTGGAGAGGTCTGGTAATACTTTATAACCGACAAAAGCGTCTAGGATTATTTTTTTGGAATTATATAAAAACTAAATTAAAAGATAAAAAAGAAATCAAGTTGCCACAAAAACATTTTTTTTTGCAAATGTTGTATGCTGCGCAGTAACGAAATAACCGCAAACGCTCTGCCAGACTCGCGGGACTGGATTCGCCAATTGACGAAATTATATTTTTTCACAATTTCAACTTGCCCAAAGGACCTTCCCAAAATTCGTCGCCAGCTCTCAGACTACAACATGTTACAAACGCCTGGCGCTCCGACTGCCACCCCGCGCCTACTGCTTCTACGTGAACAAACACTTGGGATTACTAGACTAGATAAAGGTTATTTACAGGTACCAATAATCAACTGCGTTGTTAGGGACACTGATCTACTGGACTGGACTGACTGTAGGGGACTGTAACCTGATTTATAACAGACATGAATATAAATTAGACAGAATGAATGCTTCGTTGAAATTAGGTCTAGAGTTTTTAGAAAGTACTTAAAGTGAAAAATTACAAAATAACAGAGGACATGGGCTTACAGGTTCGACGACGTCGCTTGTATATGTGAACGAGTCGTGCCTAGAGTGCGAGCGCGTGCGCGCGGCGTGCGAGCGGCTGGGCGCGGTGGAGGCGGCGCGTGCGGGCGACGCGCTGCCGCAGCCGCAGCCGCCGCCCGCGCCCCCCTCCTACCTTGTCACCACACCCTTTGAAGGCGAGCTCTTCGACGCTGCGCATAGAGCCAAATACAGGTTAGAAAACTTAAAAATACCCTAACCACGACATAGACATTATGACTGGTTGATCAATAAGTTTTTAGAGACGTAATGAAACTCTAGGATAAGTATATGTAAATTGTATTTATTTTTCAACGTAATCGCCTTTTAGGTTAATACACCTTGAATAGCGTTTTGCAAGGTGATTAATTCCCTTGGAAAAAAGGGCTTAATTCTGGGACTAAAAAAAACACAGCTCACATCACCTCATCGTCGCTGTCGAATTTTATACCACGCAATTGCTTTTTCAGGTGAGTGAAAAGGTGAAAACGAGCTAGGTCTAGAGAATATGGTAGATGCTGTATCAACTGAAACCCGGCAGCTCGGATGGCAACGCCTGCAATTTCAAATTGATGGGCAGGAGCATTATCATGATGACAAAGCACTCCAGCACGCAATTTTCCTCGACGTCTATTTTTTAGTTATTCACGTAGTTTTTTGATTAATAATACTTAATCTCCGGTTTTTGTCTCTCCTTTACTTCATCATCATTACAGCCCTTCACAAGTCCACTGCTGAACATAGGCCTCCCCCAAAGAATGCCACAAAGCACGGTCCTGAGCCACCTGCATCCATCGACTTCCTGCATGTTTTACCAGGTCGTCACTCCATCTCGTGGGGGGACGCCCTACACTTCGCCTACCGGTATTATTATCACTTGATACTGAAAATCTATAAAAACGAAAATCTTGAATAAAATGAGACATGGCTTAAAGGACAAGCATTCAAGCCAAAAATCTTAATAAAAAAAGCTTAGTAAAGGTTTAAGAATTTTAAAATATTGCCACCAAATAATTACTATTTAATTTTGTGGGATTTCAAATGTTTCGTTTTCAAATAGTCTGTGAAGTGTATGCCAATGCAAAAAAGCGATATGAAATAGATAGAAAATACAGATATGAGATAGATATTTGTATTTTAATGTACACTTGAATGTGAAATAAAGCTTGGTAGTTACAAACTTTTGACCACTAGGCTACTACTAATTTTTATTTAACATCTTAACAAGTTGCACACGGGCACAACTATACCTAGATGTATTTATTAAAATGGCTCAAAGTTTAATTTAATTGCAACAGATTTGAACATCTTAACCATGGAACCTAACCAGGGGTTAAAATAATTACAAATTTTATCATTCCATCTTAGTCCTCTAGGGGACGACGCATCTGCGTTTTAGATTCTTAATCGAAGATAAATTTAGATGCCTATGGGCCACAGCATCTACTTACCATCAGGTGGACTGTGTGCCCATTTGTCACGCTTATACTATAAAAGAAATATAAACAAAACTTTACTTTTTTTACTTGCACTAAAAATGTCTATGCCGATAAGTGATTCTAGAATAGAAAAATATTTTGTCCAATACACAATTTAGATAGTTTTTGCATTTAAAAGACATTTTTATCATTAGCTCAGAAAATGCTTTTGTTGTGAGAAGAATCAGCATGGTTTTAATACAAAGTTATTACTTATAATTATTTTTAAAAGAGCTATGGTTATTGGCATCCTTGTATTCCTAGTAGCCATTTAGGATTCGTTTTGTGAAATATTAAGATTTTACAGTCATTATGTATTTTTACGATTTTAATGCCCATTATGCAACTGCAGCGCGTCGAGGCATTAAAGTCTTGTGTTTTTAAACTTTGCATTTAATTTTACAAGGCTTTTGTTAATTATCTAATTACATAAGGAGACTTAATTTACAATTACAATAAAATGATGTACAACTTACAAAAATGTACAAACACGGTACAACCTGCTAAGCAAAATACAACTGACGAAGCACGGACGTGCAACCTGTGGTAGAAAATGCTGAACCCAAATTGCACAGACTGAGTATGAGTAAATGAGTAAATATTTCATATTGCCTAGTTTAATTCATAAAGTATATAATATAAAAAAAAAACTATAATAAAAGAAAAACTAAAACTAATAACTTAATTTTCTTAAATCACCAGCAGCAACGACCTGTCGCTTGTAGAGTTCCTTTAGGAACTTCACCGCACGTGGACCCCACGGACCGATAGTCTTTACAGCAAATGGCACAAATATGTAGTCATCTCTCAGAGAGAGAGAGACTCATATTTGCGCCACTTACTTATTTCAGGGCCTTTGATGCCGCCCCGGCTTAACGAAGTACTCCTAAGATGAGAGAGAGGCCGCCAAAGTGTACGCAAGTAGCATCCCACACTGGGGCTTTACCTCTCTCCCAAAGGACCAATATCATACCGTCGGGTCTTCTGCTATCGTCTCTAAATATTCCACAAGGCTCTAAAACCGAGGGAACATTTATAGAGACAAGAGCCCTTCGGATGACATCTTTCAAATAATCGTGCCGTGAAAACATACCAGCATTTTTCTTACATGAAAGTCCGTGGAGCTCAAACTCGTCGACGCTGCTACCACAGGGGCACTGATGGGGTTGACAAATCGCCGCTCCTAGTCGGATTCCTATGGCGATGCGCAAGTTTTCTCCATCAAGTAATGCGCAGAAATTATATATAGATATCAGGTTTCCGTTGACGCTCCTCTCATCTCTTCGGACCATTGTCTGAGGACAATGATGGTCCTAAGCTTGCTGTTTGTTTACTATGTAATGTTAAAATTTCACGTGGTTGAAGCTGAAAGAGCTTGCCAGGAAATTCTACTGGAGTACTCAAAAATGTCTAGCGAAGAGTCCTCCAGTTCATCGTCAACACCGGCTAAAAAAAGTAGATGAGAGGAGACAGAGTCAGCTGTATCTCGCGAAGCTCATTACACGTTCTGGGATTGCTTCAATGAAGTAGGAAATGAAAATAATACTAGTCAGTCTCACCATGAAGAAAAAAACACGATTTCATGTGAAATTGATTTGTATCTAAAGTCAGTGCGTATTGCTCGCGATCGTGACCCTTATATTTGGTGGGCAGGTAATGCTACACAATATCCTAATTTATCGAAGTTTGCCAAAATCTACCTTTCAGCACCCTGCAGCAGTGTGTACAGCGAAAGACTTTTCTCAAGCTGGCCTTGTTTATGAAGACAGGCGAAACCGCTTGTTACCTTTCAATGCAGAGAAACTAGTATTTATTCTCCATAATTTGCCCTTAGTGCAGTATGAGTACTAATTGTTTAAGATTTAAAATGAAAATTTTGTGATTACTAATTCTATTTGTTAAGTGACCTAAATAAAGTAGGTACTTAACCAAATTTGATATTTCGTATTTTTTTATCCGGTATCCGGCCGGATAGCGGTTTGTTATCCGGTATCCGTCCGGATAGTAATTTGGGCCGGATAGGCCGGATACCGGATAGTTACCGGATATCCGTTTCATCTCTAATAAATACATAACATAATTTTAGATTAACGTTTAAATAGCTACTATGTCACAAAGCAATCAGTTTCTGCAGAGTAGTCAAACATAGTACAATTCCTTTACAATGGAGCGAGACCTCAAGAAACAAATTGTAAAATTTGCTGCAGCTGTAAAAAGAAAGGTAGAAATGATAAAAGATGCAAAAAATACAAACAGTCTGGCTTTGGAAACAATATTTAAGGCTATCGTTTCAAATTCGATTTTAGTTATGTCAAACATTAAGAAGTCTCAAAAGCCTAAGATACGTCAAGGATCGGCGTTTCACGCTGGCGATTACGTTCGTATAAGCAAATACAAAGGAGATTTTTACAAAGGTTATACCCCTAATTGGTCTACAGAAATATTTCGTATCGTTAAAGTCAACCAAACCAATTCTCAAATAGAAGACAAACACAATGAAAAAATTCTAGGCTCTTTTTACGGTTACGAATTACAAAAAACTAAATTTCCAGACCTTTATCTTATTGAAAAAGTCATTAAAAGAAAAGGAAATAAGCTTTTAGTAAAATGGTTAGTTAGGTTTGAGTGATGAAGAAAATAGTTGTGTGGATAAAAGTGAATTAGTGGTTTCGGTATATAAATAACGTATTATTACTTAATAATCTCATTTTATACTTATCGATGAAGGAAGGCAGTGGTATAATTAATAAAGTAATAGACAATTTACCGTTTGAGCTACATTTACCCGGCTATCAATTTTGAGGCCCCGGAACTAAACTTCAAAAACGGTTACTCAAAGGCGATTGTGGGATAAACAAATTGGATAAAACATGCATGCTCCATGATATTGCTTACATTAACAAAGATTCGGGCGCTCGACAAAAAGCGGATTTAGAACTTTTGAAAATGGCTAAGAGGAGGTTGAAATCAGAAGATGCTAGGAAAGGAGAAAAAATTACTCGTACCTCATGGATAGTCAAAAATGCGATGCAAGCGAAAATCCGGGCGGGAAGCGGTATAAAAGCATTTAAGAAGGGGATAAAAAAAATACAGTCTCAGTTGAAAAAACTAAAATCCAAAGACTCACTCGGCTATAAAATATGCCTATGCAGCTGCAAAGAAAATATTTATTAATAAAAAAGGAATAAGTTTACCCCGTTGTATTCCTCTTCCAAAGTGTGGAGGATTTTTACCACTTATTCCCATATTTGCAGGATTGTCAGCTTTAGTATCATTAGCCGGTGGAGAGATCTAGGAAAAGGATTATATATTAAACCTCATAAACAAGGAGCAGGTTTATATCTTAACCCCTCAAAAAACTAATTAAACGGCTACCCAGACGGGCGCTCACTAATCTCGACATATTAGAACATGCAAGTGATATTCCATACTTTCGCGGCGTTTTCATGAGAAATAATTTACCTTTGAAACCGAGAAAGATAGAATGTGGAATACTGAATTTGGGTAGCTACAGAAATCCTGGAACGCATTGGGTAGCCTTTGTAAAGCACCTTAAATACGTAGAATATTATGATAGTTTTGGTAATTTAAAGCCCCCGTTAGAATTAGTTAAATATATGCATAACTTACCTATTAACTATAATTATGCGCGACATCAAGCGTTTGGTGCTACAAACTGTGGACATCTTTGTCTAAAATTTTTAAGGAATTACTGGA